CCTCTGTACAGCAGAACTTGGAAGAGGTAATTCAGTGATTGAATCAGGTGTGTTTGAACAGGGAAACATGTAAAACATGTAGGGCTGCTGCCGTCCAGGACCAGGACTGCCCACCCCCGCTTTAAAGCATTAACTTCAGCTTTGGCGCCCACTTGTGGGACATTTTTTTAAATTTTTGATAAAGCTGGGCATCTTAAAATAACGAGTGCTGTTTTTGTCGTCGTCTTTTCAGTTTGGAGATGTTGTATTTGGGTGGAAACCTTATTACAGCCATTCCTCCAGAAGTGGCGAACCTGCCCTGCCTCACTTACCTGGTGCTGTGTGATAACCGTATCCAAAGTGTGCCTCCGCAGCTGACCAGGTAAAAATCAGCTGTGTGTCCTTTTTCTGCAAGAGTTGCACTAAAAACTCCAGTGACACGTTCCGAGTGGTTGCCGTCTGTAGTTGAGATCTCGTTCCTCCCTGTGTGTCGTTAGACTCCACTCTCTGCGGTCCTTAAGCCTCCACAACAACCTGCTCACCTACCTGCCGAGGGAGATCCTGAGTCTGGTCCACCTGCAGGAGCTCAGCCTCAGAGGCAACCCGCTGGTGGTGCGCTTCGTCAAAGAGATGACCTACGACCCCCCCTCGCTGCTGGAGCTGGCAGGACGAACCGTAAAGAGCCGGAATATTCCTTACTTCCCTCGTGACCTGCCCTCAAATCTGCTGCGCTACCTGGACCTGGCCAGCAAGTGTCCCAACCCCAAGTGTGCGGGTGAGGCTTCACTTTTCTGTGTGTTTGAGGAAAATGCATGGACTAATGTTGAGTTTATTTTAGTTCTGTTGTCATTAGTGACAAAAAAATCATAAAGTTGAAGTGGCAGATCATTCTCTGTTATCAAGATGAAGTGAAGATGAGAAGACGTCGCTTTTGGCCAGCCGAAGAGGGAGTTTTATTGAGTTCAGCAGATCAGTTCAACCGACAGAAGACATCCAAACTGAACTGACGTATTAGTGTCACAAAGTCACCCTTTATCAGGCTGTGGGCATAATTAACACAGCATAATAAAAATAATCTGGTCCTTATCAGGTTGTAAATAAGGYAGAAACCACTTTAAATAAACAATACATGCCATAAAACAGTGGTTCCCAAAGTTGGGGTCAGGACCCAAAGTGGGGTCCTGAAAAATTAAGGTGGGGTCCAGAAATTTTTTTCTAAATTAATTAAATTTTTGCCTTAGTTGCCTAAAATGTAAAAATGTAGAATAATAAATATTACTATGCCCATGCTTAGCTGACCTGATACAAATGTTTATCATCATAAAATAGTTGTGGGCACAGGTCTCTGCTACTGTTTTGTGGGTCAAAAGCTGAAAGGTTTGGGAACCACTGCACTTCAGAAAACAATTTAAAGGATAATAAAATAATTTGTGATGTAATATTTTCCCTATAATTATTACAAAAACATAAAATAAGTGTTTATATTTATGTGGCCTTTTTTTAGGGTTATTAACAAAGTTTGTGTAATCAGACCAGTAATATTTGGGGTCACGAGTTTTGCCATGGATATTTTGTGGGTCAGAAGATAAAAAGTTTGGGAACCACTGCCATAAAACACCTTGAACAATAACTAATCCAGAATTCAGTATATGAAAAGCCATTCTTACCACTTTAATAGAAATTATAAGCCTTAAATAACAAATTCTGCTTTTTAAATGCAACTAATAAATGGAGCGTTGATGTGAGTAATTATATAGAAGCAGAAGTTTGTGGGGAGTTCAGGTGTGTGTTGACACAGATTCATTAAAGTAAGACATGATCTTAGAGAAGCAGTTTTCCTGCCAGTCATGCTCTGAAGGGTTAAAAAGATATTTTCAGGAAGTTTGGAGGTTGTAATTATGGACTGAAAAAAATATTCACAACTGGAAAACTTTCACGACCGTTGCCAGAATTCTCAGGAAAGAACGTCACAGCAAGTTTCCTCAAGCTGAGGCTGGGCTGTTTAAAACAAATACTGAAAATGTTTGTCTGCAGAAGATTTGCCAAGAGAAAATCCCTTTTTCTCTGGAAATAAAAATACACCAAATAGCAAATTTGTGTAAAAAAAATCCACAAAACTTGGGAAAGAATGTCTTCGAGTAGATCAAAGTGAAAATGTTGCAACAACCTTCACAGCAACATGTTTGCAGCTACAAATACAGGATTTCAGAAAATGTTCAATCCCGATTGAGTCAGACTACATTATTTTTATTAAAATGTAAAACTTAATGTCCATTTATTCATTTAAAAGCTGCTCGTAATTTGAACAGAAATCAGAAATGAAATATTTTTTCTATAATTCAAAGTGATTTAGTCATGTTAACTTTGGAGCCTCTTTAATTAAATATAGTAGAGTTGCGCAATAATTTGAAAATGTATTATAATTGCAGTGTCAATGGGTGCAACATCARTATAAAGGGTTGCAAATATTCTCAGACACAAATATCATAGCAGCCCTTTTTTTTCTTGGTAATCAGWTGCGTTCTCACTGGCCTAAAAGCCCACAGCAAATACATGTTGATATATTTAACGCTGTTGTTGTTTCTCCCCAGGTGTGTACTTTGACTCGTGTGTCCGTCAGATTAAATTCGTTGACTTCTGCGGGAAGTACCGGCTGCCCCTCATGCACTACCTGTGCTCCCCTGAATGCACCTCCCCCTGCAGCTCCAACCCTCAGAGCGACGCCGAGTCCGAGGAGGAGAACAGCGTGCCGGCTGATCGCCTTCAGAGGGTTCTTCTGGGCTGAAACTGCAGAAATCTGAAGGAGCGGTGCTCGCTGCGGACTTAACTCGACACGTTTGTGTCTTCACGCACAACTGACGTCCGTGTTCAGCGTACTTCTACATTCACCGACTTAAAACGCACAAAATACGGGACGATCTGTGGCATTGGAAGTGTACATTTTYTTTAGTTTGTTTTATCGGACCACATATCAGTCCATGATTAAAAGAAGGGTTTAAGTTTTTACGCATCTCTACCTGCTTGTCAGACGGTCAAACACAGGAGGGCAGTAAAACTCAAGTTTCTGTGAAGGTTGAAGGAGGAGCAGGATTGCTTTTGTTTTTTAGGGCGATACATTTCCTCTTTAATGCAACACAATTCTACATTTTTAAAGGGGATTAAATGTTTTTAGCTACTGCARTAGTTTCCATGTCCAAGTGTCTCTTTAAGATGTGGAAAACAAAATTTCAAATTATGGAACTATTATTGTAGGAGATATTCTTATTAAACTTCATGATGAAAACAAACCATGTGGTGATATTTTATCACTAATTTCATTAGTATTATGATTGTTTAATACTCTTAACTCAGCTAAATTAGGGTAGTCTTATGTGGAAGTCTGCTTGCTGACACAGGAAGTGGATGTTGGGTGGGCCAGAGAAACCATCCTCTCTGCACAGAAATAGCTGTTGAACACATTTACAGCCTTCATGCATTTAAAGAAGAGTTCTCTGAGCTTTAGCAAACAGAGAGAAACTTCAGTCAGAAACCGCTTTTGTTTCAATTCTTACTTTAAATAAAAATGTCATTTTAAACAGGAAATATTTGCCTTCTGGTTACATCTCTAAGAAAGCTTTTTTTTTAAGAACTGTGGTATTTTATAGCTTTCCACACAGGTTTTGCCTGTAAGTGAGGAGGTCAGATTGACCCCCCAGCTTCCGTTTTGAAACATCTTCAATGTTACAGCAGCACAGATATTTTTAGCAACTGCGACGTGCCTTACTAATGGAGAGTTTTAACACGTAAACCAAGTGTTAGTATAAAGAAATGTGATATATGCACCCTGAAATGTGATGCGCGTAACAATAATTGTTATAAATTCATTTTTGTATGAATTTGTGCTTTAAGGTTAACCACAAGAAAATAGAAATGGTAACTTTTTGTGACAAAATTAGCTTTTATACCAACTTTTTGTGTGTGTCAATCTACATTTTAAGTGTCCTTTTAGAATAGATGACACAGTAAATCTAATGTGTATGTGTTTACTCCTTAAAGATCATGTAAGGGAAATGTATGTAAACGCTAATAAAGAATAACAATGCTTTTTGATTGCATTTGATTTTTATCAGAGAAGAGATATCTAGCTTGAAATAATATGGAAATATTTATATTTCAGTRAGTTAAATGGTATGAACATTTCACAAACCCTTTATCAATTTATGAAATTGAAACTTCTGAAAGTTAAAAATTCTCATCCAAATCGAATCTGTTCACAGCACAATGAAAGTAGGTAAACAGGCTTCTCTGTAAAAACTGTGAATGTTAAACACTGAATGAAAGCTGAAATTTGATTAAGCTGAAAAGTTGGAAAAGCTAATAACGAAAAAAAAAACTTGCTGAAAGTAGCAAAA